AATCACTTTTAAATCTTAAATCTTTCTGTTCTAACCGTAATGATTCACACTAAGATTTTGTCAAGACATTTATAAAGAAAAAAATGCATTTCTAACACTTATATAAATATGCCATGACTTTATAAGTACATTTTAGTTTTTTAAGCAGATTTTAAAAAAATATTTTACCTAAACAAATTACAATTTATGTCTCTCTTTACTGTTGGCAGGGATCAAATTGATCAAAAATAGGGACACCTGGGACATTTCTTTTATAAAAATGGGACAAATCACTGGTTTTGGAAAAATCAGCTGGGACAGGGGACACAGAGCTCAAAACTGGGACTGTCCCAGGTAAATAGGTACGTCTGGTGGCCACCCTAGTAATGCAAGTTGAATAACTAGGCATAATTTAAACATGTTATGGGCCTAATGCAGACAGAATAGGTCAAAGCACATCCTCCATGATCAGTGTTGGAGAGTAACAGATTACATGTACCGGAGTTATGTAATCAGAGTACAAATTATGAGTAACTGTATTCAGTTACAGTTACTGTTTCTGTGAGTGGTAATTGGATTACAGTTACTTTGTTGAAATAAATGGATTACATGGCGGTCACATTTTCATGTTTTGGGCTAAATCCCACATCTCCTTCCGTACTGCGTAAACATTGCCGGTCTACTGTGCGCCTCTAAACTAGAACTAAAACCAGGACTAAACCAGCTCTAAACTAAGACTAAAACCAGGTCTAAACCAGGACTAAAACCAGTACTAAAACCAGGACTAAACCAGGACCAAACTAGGTCTAAACCAGGACTAAAACCAGGACTAAAACCAGGACTAAAAAAGGACTAAACCAGGACCAAACTAGGTCTAAACCAGGACTAAAACCAGTACTAAACCAGGATCAAACTAGGTCTAAACCAGGACTAAAACTAGGTCTAAACCAGGACTAAACCAGGACTAAACTAGGTCTAAACCAGGACTAAAACCAGGTCTAAACTAGGTCTAAACCAGGACTAAAACCAGGACTAAAAAAGGACTAAACCAGGACCAAACTAGGTCTAAACCAGGACTAAAACCAGTACTAAACCAGGATCAAACTAGGTCTAAACCAGGACTAAAACTAGGTCTAAACCAGGACTAAACCAGGACTAAACTAGGAACTAAAACCAGGACAAAACATCTTATGTTAAGATATCCTAGTCTTTGCTACTTTACGGTAAACATTTGCTTATTGGCTCAACAGCCAATTTAAAGAGAACAAACAAGAATTTTCAGGATGTGGTCGCTGCATTCATGTAGCTTTAAAAAACATGACAATATCAAGTAATCGAAAGTATTCAGATTACGTTACTCACCTTAAGTAACTTCATGGATTACGTTACAAACTACATTTTGGGGTATGTAATCTGTAATCTGTAGGGGAATACATTTTAAAAGTAACCTTCCCAACACTGCCCATGATATTACAAGAGCCGTAAAACTAATTTCAGAGCAGTGAAATAGTACAGTAAGTCTGGTAAAGGGGTGTATGGACTTTAAAAACACAGTGGAGCTTCATGGATTACCAAAATACTAGTTTCTCAGGTAGACTAAATGGCCAGAGCTAAACCTTTCCAAATAGGAAGAGGGCATGAGGGCATTTCTGGCTCCATTGACTCCGGCTCCAATTCACTTCGAATTGGAAAAATGTTGCCACTCTCCTCGTACCTGTCGCTGTCAGGCTCCTCATTTTGGTTTTTAAAGTGTTCGTACTACCCCGCTCTACATGATCCTGGTGTTTTTATTTCGCTACTTTATCCGTAAATCAATTGCTATTCCTAATACGGACCTGGCTCCAAATTTGCTCCTATAACTGCTAGTCTTGTGACCTTCGTTTGACTGGAGCCGAACGATGTCACACTCCCTTAGTCCACTTCAGTCTATGGTTCCCCCCAACAAAATGTAATAGACTAATCCCTCAATTGGTTATTCTTCAAAAAGATTATGTACAAAATGATGAGCCGCTCCTACTCCAGCCACGTCACATCCTGGGAATCATGGCTTGAGGGTTGGGTCAAACGCAGTCATCAAATTCAAAGTAAGAAATTTCAGTCCAAGTTTATGTTCTCGAATAATCAGTTCTAACACCATAGCCACAAGAGACCTGAAAACCACTCTCTCATGTCCTTTACTAGTCCTTGTGCATGAATTGTTGCCACTAACATCTTTGGAGCAGATTTTTCAGACAGAAAAGAGAAGCAGAGTGGACCACCCCTGCACGGCCAGTCAGCTCTCATCCCAAAACACCAGCTAGTGATTTGCAAAGATAAAATGGTTTATAATTCGATCAAGACACCACGTAGGAGTTCTGCTTTGAGAACTGATACTTTGCACCGTTCACTGGGGTTGTGATGCTAACTGTAGGCTCTGCTCTGTCTGAATCTTTGTTAGACTTTAATCTGATCTTTATTTGAACACAATCAGACAGGAAAAAACTGACTCAACACCGAAACAGAACCCGAAAATGTGTTGTTTAAATTAATAAGTTCTATTCACGCTTACTTTACAAACCAGGAAGATGTTTGTAAAGATGCGAGTACAACTTCCGGAGGGCTCTGTTTGTGGTAAATAAGTCTGACAAAATCTAGGAAAAATGAGCAGTTTTCTTTATCTACATGTCACTGTAGCGTTCCGTTATGTTCAGCTAATCAACAATTACAAACAAAAATCAGTATTCAAAATTTTCCCACTGACACTTAACTCTGAGCGCACTGGGTACATGTGATTAGAAGAGATGAGGGCGCCACATTCTAGATGATTCCAAACAGCACATACGTATGCAGTCTTCATTTTACCTCTGATCGCATTTACTTCAATGGGTTTTATCACAGTCGGTCAGTAACTACACCAGAAGTTGTAATTGCATCTTTCCAAACGTCTTCCTGGTTTGTGACGTAAAATTAACAGAGCCTATTTTGTATTTTTTCTTCAGTTTTCAGACTATGTTAAAACTTTTTGGACAGCGTTTGCCAATGTGTGCCCTGCATCTACTTGGTAACTGCTGAACACTCTACCACAGACATACTGCATGTATAATACCTTCACTCTGATGTCACTGCAAAGCATCAATGCACTAGCCAGGCTGGAGCCACTCAGTTTCATTTCTCTCCAGCGACTAGGTCAGGAATCAGAATACACTAGATGGTTTACTATGGATGTAACAATAACCGAAATATTGTGATATTGCATCATCAAAGTTCTCAGAATAATATCACAATAAATCGAATTACAAGTCTCTTTGCTTAAATTAAGAGCTATGGTGCAGCAATAGCTAAAAAAAGACAGAGGGAACTACATAGACCATGATCCTTTGCTGCATTTCAGTGCAGACTACAAGAAGAAATAACAGTTCCAAGCACTTTTAAGTTGTAGTTCTTTGGATTAAGTCTTGTCAAGACATTTTAAGAGGAAAAAGTAGCAGATTCAATTTTGTTAACCTCCACAAAATATTGCAATAAATATCATGCCGTGAGATGTTTGTCATGAAAATATCGTATTGAGAGATTTGGATATTTTACATCTCTAATCGTGAGCCTTCCCACCATATCATGAGCTTTCCCACGATACTGCAATAAATACCGCACCGTGAAGTTCATACCGTGACAATATCGTATCGTGAGACTTGGATATCGTTACACCCCTACTGTTTGCAAGAACCCCAGAAGTTGTAGACCTCACACTGGCCAATCAGCGGAGATTTGTGAAGCCGGCAATTACTTGATACCACTGAGTGTTCCGGTGAATTACATATGTCACGACCAAATAACAGCAATGGGTTTAAAAAAAAATAAAAAAGTACCCGCCTACCGTCAAGCAAGCGAATCCTAATGCTGCAAGGTCAGGCGGTTTCCACGAAATGAAACCAGCTGATGTATCACACTATTAATGCACTTCCTGAGGGGGGAAAAGTTAATTTACTAACTTCTAAGAAAAAAGTTTGGTACTTTAGACTTAACATTCACAGCACGCTAATTGAGACCACCAACTCCATTTGTCCTTCCTCTGTCACCGTCCCTCCAGCTCCATCCGTCTGTGTTCATGCAAAGTTGCGTATGCGTGCAGATGAGCGATGATTGTGATTACTGATGCGGTAAAACTCTGTAGCATATGGCCTCAGATGTAATGACTCAAACCCCTCCCAGTGCCTGTTATCTAACCGGCTAACACACGCCCATACACGATCTCTATATAAGCGGATGTGTGAAGGACAAACTTGGCCACGTTTTCCCTGTCAAAGTGATGCCACAGGCCCGCAGGTGGGGGACAGGTAGGGGAGATAAGATAGATGTCCAAAAGGGGGAGTGACAGACATAGGGAGTGTATTGGGAGGATGCTGTTAGTCCTTCAAAAGTCCTGATCCGTGCACTTACACACTCCATTAACCCAGAGCGGGGGGCTTTTTATAACCAGTTTGTAAAAATAACAATGGACTGAATGAGTGCAGTGAGAAAGTGGACATGAAAAATGATACCACAGTGCTTCAGAAGAATAAGCATGTAAAAATACGCTGTTCACAGTGATCTAATATAGTGGGCAGAAAGATTTAAAAGGAGAACAACAATTTATGTTCAGATCTATGTTCTTAATTTGATTCACAAACAAAAATAAACTACTACTGCAACTAAAATTCCAGCTAAAACCATATGATTTTGACACTTAATATGTTTGGGTCTGGAGTCATATCTTGTCTGACCAATTTCCAATGGCCGTGATTGACAGGCAGATTAACCAATCAGAGAACCACATAGTTTGTTGATGTCAAAACAGAATTTTTTGAGTAATACAATGGAGGAGAAACAGTATATTTCTGTAGAATTAACAAGAGAAGCATTAAACACGTATGTTTCTGAGGTAAAAAAGTTCTAGTTTTTGTTCTGAATAAATGACGATCATTTGACGAGTATTGCCATAACTTAAAACCCATGAATACACACATGAATATATGTATGCATTCTATTATATTTCTGTTTCTTACCTGTAGATCTTGCGGTGGTAGAGGTCACACCAGAACATCTTGTTGGAGGCCACGTCCACGTCCAGAGCCACAGCATTCTTCAGTGTGGGCACCACCTGAGAATACTCGCTCTTCAGAAGGTCAATGCGTCGGATCTCATGACGGTTAGTGAACATCAGGTACGGACTTTTACCTACACAAGAAGACACAAAGTACAGTAGAGTTAGCTATTTAAATCTAATATTATTCACAAACTGACAAACAAGACATGTGACCTTCTTAAGCTTGGACGCTGTGGAGGAACATTGGAGAAAAATACTTAATGCATGTTCAGGGCGTCCGCTGTGCCTTGTTTCCCCGATCGAGAAGTGGCTTTAGTGTATTTTTTACATAAAACCCATCAGAAAAGGCTATCGGCATATATATATATTTATGCTCCACTAATGATTCTTTGTACATGTGATTGTTATGGTGTTTGTGGCTCTCGGGTCTTAGTGCCTGATTGTTTGATGTGGTGTGTCCAATGCCAAAAGTTGAGCTTTTCCAGCACCAGACGCCGGACACCCTGGACACACATCCAGAGCATAAGACACCTGAACACTAAAGACAAGCAATGTCAACACCAGATTCTTGCAGCTTTGCAAAAAACGCAAGACGCCCTAGACGACTGAGACGATGGAGGGATTACACCAGCACTAGAGAGTATAGCACAATGACAGTGGAGATAGTTTGACTGATAGATCACGCTGATATTTGCACTTTTAGCATATGGCTTATTGGCTTTACATCTTCTGCACAGGCTGATATTTTGTTTTTTTATACGACTTGCTCTCTAAAATTACCCATGAAGCTTTATTTGAACACTGGAGTACAACAAGATAACAGCATTAATGTGACTGCACAGCTCTGTTTAAGGATTGAGGTAAGAAAAAAAAGTCATGCAGAGTTTTTAGTTTTATTTAGTTAAATTACATAATTTAAGAAAAATAATCAATATCAGGCCTATATATCGGCCCAAAAATATCGACAGAGATCATTAGCCAATGATTGATTTGGATTCAACACAATCAGTATCGGCATCGGCCATGAGAAAACCCATATCTGTCGATCTCTAACTGATAGACCACTACACCTCTAATATAATAATAACAAGTATCCTGTTTTCAAGGACACAAGCAGCATGTTTCTACAAATTGCATCATAAAATAATAGGACAACTGCGCAATGAATACGCAATACTTAAGATTAAAAAGAAGATCAACAGAAATACATAAATCATAGAATACAGCACTAATGACGAGACTAATGTAGCGTCTTTGCTACGCCATCATTGGGGTTTGAAACAGCCCAAAATGAGACCTGATCAAGAGGTTCTATTTTTACTCAGCAGACAGCAGCAGCTGAGAGCACTGTTCCAGGTGAGAGTCCTGTTCAGAGCAGAGGTACACAGGGCGGGTTATGGAGCACAGGGGAACCATGAGTCAGAAATATGAAGCTCTTTATGTAGTCCACAAGGTCACACTAGTGTAAGGGGAGAAGTGAAGTGAAAGAAAGCAGGCTAACACAAACACTAATAGATACAATAGCCATAACTGACCTAATGCAGTATTCTTATATACTTTATTTTACATCTTTTTTTTTTTTTCAGGAAGCTCAAAATCATTTTACATAGTGTGGAATTCTTGTAGACATAACTGCCTCAACTGAATCCAAGAAAACAAATGTAACTAATGTAAACATCCTCTGACTAAAGTTAAAGGGGCACTACACAACTTTTCTAGTGATGACCCACCAGCTGCTTGTCTCCATAGAGATGTGTTGACTTTAATGCAATGTTCGACAGTATGGCATATAGAAAACTTATCAATCTCCACGAGAACCACCCCCACAAAAAAGGAGAAAAGGTGAGAGAAAAACAACAGTTACTCGTACTTTATCTTAGTATTAAATAATGAATGTTTTATTGTGATTGTAAGGATAGATAAATATGTATGTACTTTATTTACTCTGATTACATAAAGGATAAAACACTACTCCAATGTCACATACAGACGGTTACCAGGACTAATACTGTTTCTGTTTACGTTGTCCTTGTGTTCTTTTTATGTGGTGGGGAGTCAGAGATGAATTTGAACCTTGGTAGACAATGAAGATATTCCATTCTAAAATGAATATGCTTCAAGGAAAGTAGAACGCAAAAATAGACACATGTACTGCTACTACTACTGCTGCTGTTTCTACTACTACTGCTGCTGTTACTACTATTACTACTACTAATGACTACTACTGCTGCTGCTACGACTAGTGCTACTACTACTGCTACTGCTGCTACTACTATTACTATGACTACTACTGCAACTGCTACTACTACTTCCTGTGCCTCTACTGCTCTGCTACAACTACAAAGTACATCTGTGACATGTTAGTGTATGAACCATCTACTCTGAGGACTACCGGCCTCCTGCTGGTGCAGAGTGACTAAACTACTCAGGTTCTGCAGCTACTGGAAACTGAACTGAGACACTGTACTAAATCCAGACTACTGTTTACTGTGCATATAACTGTTTCTACAATTTATGTCTCTCTATCTTCATTATGATTTTAATGTATTTCTATTCTAAAGCACTTTGAATTACTACGAATTGTGCTACTAAACTTGCCTGCTTGCTACTGCTGCTACTACTACTACTGCAGCTGCTACTACTACTGCTGCCACAGCTACTGCTGCTACTACTACTACTTCTACTGCCACAACTACTACTACTTCTCCTGCTACAGCTACTGCTGCTGATGCTGCTGCTGCTACTACTACAGCTACTACTACTACTACTGCTGCTACTGCTGCTACTACTACTACTACTGCTGCTGCTACTACTACTACTGCTGCTGCTGCTGCTACTACTACTACTACTACTACTACTGCTGCTACTACTACTACTACTGCTGCTACTACTACTGCTGCTACTACTGCTGCTACTACTACTACTGCTGCTGCTACTACTACTGCTGCTACTGCTACTACTACTACTGCTGCTGCTACTACTACTACTACTACTACTACTGCTGCTACTGCTACTACTACTGCTGCTACTGCTGCTACTACTGCTGCTGCTGCTGCTACTACTACTACTACTACTACTACTGCTGCTGCTACTCCTACTACTACTACTGCTGCTACTACTACTACTGCTGCTGCTACTGCTACCGCTGCTGCTGCTGCTACTACTGCTACTGCTGCTACTGCTACTACTGCTACTACTACTACTACTACTACTACTGTTGGTGCTACTACTGCTGCTATTACTACTACTATTACTACTACTACTACTACTGTGTACATTCGTATTAGTGCTATGTTCTTGCCTTGTCCATCACGTCACTCTGCACTGTTAACTACAACATACTCACAACACCACTCAATCTCGAGAAGTGCGTTGTTGTGTTTTGTGTTTGTGTGTGTGCAGGGGTGTGTGTGCGAGCGTGTGTGTGTGTGTGTGTGTGTGTGCGTGTGCAGTTTCACACCTCCAGGTCCTCTCAGGCTGGCCTTACCTTTCCTTAGCTGACTGCACAGGGACAAATAAATCTGACATTCTCACATGTGTTTGGTGCACAGTCATTTTGCTCTGACTACAAAGCTCTGTGCCCACCTCCTCCTCCTCCAGCTGGGACAGGGAAGGCACAGGGGGAGAGTGATGGATGAAGCAGAGGATGCAGTGAAATGAGGAGAGGGGTAATTAAGGAAAGGTATTAAAAGAATATGAGACAGCAGAGGATACAGGACGTGGTGGTTGGAGGTAAATGCACATTGTACTTTCATATTCTACAGTAGGCCAATTGAGACATTAAGCTGTAATGGAAAACTGCTAAAAATAACACTGTGGACTATGGATATCAAGATTATTAAGTTAGTCAATAATAAGGATCATTCATGGTCACCATAAGAACTACAAAATGACCAGAGTGACAAGAATTGTGAATAATAGTCATAATGAAGATGCCAGTATAAATAAGTTTCAGATGACATCACACATTATACAGGCCAAATCATTTTTAATACAGATGGGGGGCAAGTAAAACGAATTATTGTTCAACTATTAAGGATGTAACCATAACCAAAATGTTGTGATATTGTATCGGACCATAACAATATATCAAATTACAAGTCACTTTGCTCAAATTAAGAGTTATGGTGCAGATACAGCTCAAAAAAATAAAGACAGCAGGAACTACATAGACCATGATCCTTTGCTCCATTTCAGTGCAGACTACAAAAATAAAGTCTTGTCAAGGCATTTTCAGAGGAAAAAGTAGTATATTAATAGTTTTGTTAGCCTCCACAGAATATCACAATAAATACTGAACTGTGAGATGTATATCGTGAAAATATTGTACCGAGAGATTTGGATATTGTTATATCCCTAATCGTGAGCCTCCTCGCCATATCGTGAGCTTTTCCACGATATCGCAATAAATATCATACAGTGAGGTTCATACCGTGACACTTGGATATCGTTACACCTCTATCAACTACAGATTTTCATGGTCTTGGGTCTGCTCGCTAATAGAAATGATCAGGTTCCATATTTGGGAATGTACTTTTCTGGTATTTCATGACAAAGTACAATGTAATCAACAGAAAAAACTGGCTCTCCCCCCTCACCATCTGAGAGTAAGACACCATCACACTCTACAATCTGAAAACCACCAATAGGCTAATAATCTTTTATACAGACACGGCTTTTGTTGTAATACAGTGAGTTCTTGGGTCTGGTCACTGTTACTAATGATTAGATTCAACATTTATGCATTCACCTTTTGAATATTTCATAGCAAAGTCCAATGTAAATAATAGGAAAAACTAGCCCTTGCTCCCACCTGAGTGTATGATATGATCATCATATTCTAGAATCTGAAAACTGCCCATTGTGCCATCTCCAGTATATATATATATGACTAAAATTGCAAAAGTAATGAAAAAGTCCTATATATCAGTATGGTAATATACTGTATAAGGTATGTCATATGAGATTGTGATAGGGTGAGAGAGTGGTAGAGCTCTCATGGTTATGTTGTCGTTGAAAACTAGACTAGATTACTTTTAGGATTCAGTTAAAGGGTCAATATTACACCATTTTCTGATTCAATGATGGTTCCTCATCAAAAACACACCCGGAGTTGTGTTTTGTTTCAAGT